TAAGTCATTCCAAAATTTATCTTTAGACTTAATGTGCTCCAACAAATCGAGAACTTAATGTGCTCGCTAATTTTGGAAGGAATCTTGAGGTATGTAATAAATTAGAAGAATTATAAATGAAATTAAATTAATAAAATCTAAATAATTTATTAAATTTAAAATACTAAAAATTGGATAAAATATATATGTATTTATATAGAAATAATACTGTAAACTTTATGATAGGTGAAATTAACAAGTTATATAGTCTAATGGTCTGGATATATTAAACATTAAAGTAATGAATAGCAAACTTTGAGAAGAGTTGTATATTTAAATAAAGGAAAAAAAGAAATAAATGACAATAAAAACATTATTAAATAATGGGATTAAATTTTAGAAAAGAAAAATAAAATTATTTAAGCTAAAATAATTATGATTATAGGTCTTAAACTAAAGGAAGTAAATCTTAGAAATTAACGAAGCGAAGTAAATATTTATGGTCAAGATGGGTAATTATATTTGTATATTACAGAAAAATCTATAATTCTTACTTCAAGTTTGATAAAATAAGTGACATATTCTATTATTATGTACAATTAAAAAAATATTAATTTTTCTTGAATGAAAGTCGTCATTTTTTAATATGTAGTAGCACAACTCTGATCATCTATATAAAGATAACATGAATAAAGGAAATAATGAAATAAATATGCATGTTGAATGAAGGATGACTCTTCTATGAGAACAGTTGAGGGCGTTAAGATACCCACACTTAAAATGAAAAGAAGTTTGAAAAAAAAAAGTTAAAATTGACGTATCTTAAGTGCTACAAATATTAGATAGTACTCCTGTGGCAAAAACTTATACTTTCTAGTGTAGCTGTTCAAATACTTAATAACAAATTCTCTTTTTCTTTTTCGAAAAGTGTATACTTTTTCAAATCTCAAATTATGTTAAAGATGATACGTTAATGTTTCTTTATGAGCATCTACATACATATTATTTATATTCTTGAAATTGTTATAAAATAGAACTATAACTAGCCACTAAATTATCGTATGACTCAACCCATTATTTAATATTCACTTTCAGAAAAGACATTTTAAGCTAAATGGCTGACAAAAGAGAATTCATTTATAGAAGAAGAGAAGCAATTATAAATAAGCATCAAGGAACATCTATATATATATATATTATTTTAATTTCTTTATCGAATTATTTGTATTAGAGATAATTTATACAAGACTTACACATGAAAAAAAATATTATTGTTTGGTGGCTCTTTATATATTTTGGAAGATACATTTAATTGCTTTAATTGTTAATAAAAAAAGAATGAATCTACCATCTGATTTTTTGTTTTCACCTTGGTATTCCAAGGTCTCTGGCTAAGTTGGCTGAGTCGTGACAACTTCCTCTTCATACATTCCTTTTTATCTTTTGCTCTCTTGCACATCCCGCATGAGCGAGCGCACAAGCAAGTATGAGAAAGAAAAAGGAAGAGAGATCGTATGCCACATTTATTCCAATAAATATCTCTTTCTTGTTCCCCACTATCCCTTCTCTCTTGGGAGTCGAAACAAGAAGAGGGTAAAATATGATGGCTGCCAGATTAAGTGGGGAGGGAGAGGGAGGCTATGGTCAGATAGTGAGTAAGAAGAGAGACAACATGATTTATCATTAAAAATTAAGCTTGCTTTCAATATTTAGTACGAATTCACATGAACAATTTAACAAACTATCAATATTTATGCTACCAAAGTACCTTACAATGAATAAGAGTAAGCTGAATCAAGATATAGTAGAAAGAAACTTACCTTGTTGTTGAAAAATAATTAGATCTATAGTTTTCAATAAAGCCACTATTTTGAGTTGACCAAGGTGGTGATCTGATATGGTTGGAAAGACTCTGGCTGCCAGACTTTGTTAAAAAACTAGTCCCAACCCCGTTTGAAGTTGATGCAATTGGAGAAAGCCTCTGATGGTTTAAATGGTAAGATACTTCAGATGACAGTTTTGGAGGATCGCTATAGCAGGGAGACTCTTCAGGCCTGCAACATAAGTGCAAATTAAAATTCCTACAATGTAACTAAACTTTTAATTTTCAGGCTCGGAATGGAGAAAGTACTGTTTAACTTAATAAATGAAAAATTATTCAAAAATCATCATATCTTTCACAGATTCACCTAAGTGATTAAGCTCTCATGCTTGGAAAGATTAAAAATATGCATCTTGGAGTAGAATACTCATACATCTAATTTCCAAACCATCATCCTTTCCTCAGATCAGGTTAAATCACCTTCCTAAGTAGTATGGATCAACAAAATGGCCCAAGTACTTGTACTGAAATATTTACATCATGATGCAGTATTTGACGAAACCTGCTAAGGGTTACTCATCTAGGTTTGCTATGTTGTTCGACTTATCCATTTGTTCCTCTCATCCTAGCATAATTTGATGATTGTTTTCAGCGGCTTTTCTTTTCAAAAATTGGCATGTTACATTTTCAATTTGTCCAGAAAGCAGTGAACATGAAACCAACAAAGCTATATTATAATAGCACCTCCTGCATAGCTTCACAACCATTGGTTAAAAACACTTATAAAACAGCCTCTCCATCTATATGCGAGCAGTTGACATTTAATAACATCACATCCCAAACTAGACATGGCAGTAGTATATGAACACAACAACAAACCTTTATACCACTAAGTGGGGGCGGCTACATGAATCATTTTTCTCCATTGCGTCCTATTGAGTGTCATATTTTCATTTAATTCTAATATATTAATATCATTTTTTAAACAATTCGCCCAAGTCTTATTAAGTCTACCTCTGTCTTTCTTACATAAGTTGAATCTAAAACATCTACTCTCCTAACTGAATCATCAGATGGTCGATGTTTAATGTGACCAACCCATCTAAGACGACTCTCTCTAATCTTTTTTCGCAACTGGAGCTACACCAACCATATTAAGAATATATTCATTTCGCATTTTGTCCCTAAGGGTCAAGCCACTCATCCACCTAAGCATTCTCACCTCAGCAACACAACTTTGTTTTATGCTTCTCTTTTAAAGGCTAACATTCTATGTCATAGAGCATTGCAGGTCTCGCCACCATCTTATAATTTTTTTCTTTCAATCTAAGTGGTGTTTTTCTATCACACAATAAGCCTGATGCATTCCTCCACTTCAATCAACCAACTTGACTTCTGCTAAAAACATCCCCATCTATATCAACATCACTTTGAACAATAGACCCGAGATATCTAAAGAGTTCACACCTTTTAATGATTTGATCACCCATAGTTATAACTCAGCCACTAAGCTACTGCTACTGAAATAACATTTTGTGTATTCAGCATTCGTTCTACTCAAACGAAAGAGCTTTAAACTCTAATGTGGACGTCCATAATTCAAGTTTTTCTTCAACTTTTTCTCTAGTCTTATCCACAAGAAAGATAGTCTTATCCACAAGAAAGATAAAGATATCATCAGCGAAAGCATACACCAAGGTACATCCTCCTATAAATGTCCAATAATAGCATTCAAAACAAAAGCAAAAAGATATGGGCTTAAAGTTGATGCCTGATGTAATCCAACTGAAATAGGAAAATACTTGATCAATCCTGCTTTTGTTCGAACACAACTAATAGCTCTAGTATACATATCTTTAATGACTTGGTAAGTCATATCAACACTTTTCTTCCATAGAACTCTCCGAAGGACTTTTCTTGGAACCTTATCATAATTTTTTTCTAAATCAACAAAAATCATATGTAGATCCTCCTTATTCCCTCTATACTTCTCCATCAAACCTCTCAATAAATGTATAGCTTCCATAGTAGACCTACCTGGCATAATTCCAAAACGTTGCTATAGGAACACAACAATGTTAAATTAAATATACTATCACTTGCACCACACCATGTTCTTGATACATGCCATAATAGGTAAGCAGACCAATAATGATACTAGCTGCAGAACATAGCCAAAATTGTATAAAGAAACATGCTAAAGCATTAACTGAATTTACAAACCTTAAAGGAGAAAACTTTTTAAAATAGAAAGAGAAGACATCTGTACAGAGCTTTAAACTCTAATGTGGACGTCCATAATTCAAGTTTTTCTTCAACTTTTTCTCTAGTCTTATCCACAAGAAAGATATCATCAGCGAAAGCATACACCAAGGTACATCCTCCTATAAATGTCCAATAATAGCATTCAAAACAAAAGCAAAAAGATATGGGCTTAATGTTGATGCCTGATGTAATCCAACTGAAATAGGAAAATACTTGATCAATCCTGCTTTTGTTCGAACACAACTAATAGCTCTAGTATACATATCTTTAATGACTTGGTAAGTCATATCAACACTTTTCTTCCATAGAACTCTCCGAAGGACTTTTCTTGGAACCTTATCATAATTTTTTTCTAAATCAACAAAAATCATATGTAGATCCTCCTTATTCCCTCTATACTTCTCCATCAAACCTCTCAATAAATGTATAGCTTCCATAGTAGACCTACCTGGCATAATTCCAAAACGTTGCTATAGGAACACAACAATGTTAAATTAAATATACTATCACTTGCACCACACCATGTTCTTGATACATGCCATAATAGGTAAGCAGACCAGTAATGATACTAGCTGCAGAACATAGCCAAAATTGTATAAAGAAACATGCTAAAGCATTAACTGAATTTACAAACCTTAAAGGAGAAAAGTTTTTAAAATAGAAAGAGAAGACATCTGTACAATATGAAGCATTGAGTTTAATCATCATGCATAAAAATTCAAATAATTTTTTTATTCAGTGCAATAAACAGCTACAAAATGCATGAAGCCACAATTTCAAACTTAATAATCTAAGTAGTTAATCACAACTCGTAACAACAACAACAACAGAAACAAAGAAAATGATTTTTATCAAAATGAATTTTGAATAATATACTTCAAAGACTACCATAACACTGTCATTGTCAGTCCCAAGCCCGGATGTGAAAAGTGAAGGGTTGCGTTAGGTAGTCGACAGCCAGAGTAAAACTTGTCGAAAAAATCATGACATGAATCATTTTGATTATTGTGTAAGAACACAATGGAGAAAAAAGATTCATGTAGCCAACCCCACAAAGTGGGATTAAGGCTTTGCTGTTTTTGTGTTGTATACTTCAGAGACTACCTAGTCACTTTAACACTGTAAATAACTACACAATGCATGAAATGAATCAATCACAGTTGAGAAATCAACAATCTTAAGAACGACTCATAACGCCCAAAATAACTAGCAAGAAGAAAATTAAAATTTGATCCATAATATCTTTCGCTGCTAGTTGAATTTTGAATATTACACTGCAGATAACTCATGACTTTAAAGCAATTTAATCTAGCATAATAGTAATCATGATCATGATACTAGGTGCTCATGAGCTCTAGGCCTAAATAGACCGCACAATTACTGATTTATTAAATGTTGCCATGAAATTTGACAAAAGCTCAATTTGAGGATAAATTGATCTAGGAGTGATATGCAAGGCATATTCACAATAAATCTATAAATTATTCCAAAAGTAACTTTCACTTTTAGTATATTATCAACAATAAAAATCGAGAAAATGTAAATAGATCCTAATAAAGAGAGAGTATTGGAAAAAAATATTAACTAAATCATATCCTCCAAGAGGAAAAAAATTATGTCATAAATCTAGGTCACTTTAAAGGCCATCATGCTTTAGAAGAACACTTGAAAAACTGATCAAATATTAAAGTTGATTTAAGCTCACAAAATTAAGAAAATGTTGACCGCGGTCCATTGTCGACATCTGGACTATCCTAGCCAATAGAATTACTATCATAAATTCAGTTGCAATAAAAATTTTCATGTGAAAACTATATTCTACTGAACGAGGTTTTTATTAGACATACACATACTATTCAAAAGTCGCCTACTCATATAAAAACCTAGAAGTAATTCAGGTAAAATATAAAATCCACGAGTATATGCGCTAATTCTCATCCTATGCCAAGTAAAATAGAAGAAAAATGTTAGGGATCATTTGATTTCTTGCATTTAGGAATTATGCATTGAAAAACAATAAATTTTGTTAAATCCATCATTTGATTGAATGTAATTGGACATTAATATTTATTACCAACTCTACAACCCTTCTCATAGCTCTCTCCATCAAGAAACACGTCATCCAGTGAGAAATATCCTATTCCAAGAGAGCTTCTTCACAAAACACTCTCCCCGGACTGCAGCCAATTTCGAGATATGAATGTTTAGCAAAAACAACGTTTCCAAAACAAAAAACCTAACAGCCGTACCTCTCTGTCTGATACAAAACCCCTTGATGCTGCGGCTGCGCATGTTGGATGGCCGCAACGTTGGTCGAGCTGGTCGGGCTGGAACTCGGAGATCTCCATGGAAACGCAGGTACACTTCCGAACGCCGGCTGGATCGCCGGTGGTATGGAGGGACCAGAACTTTTGCCGAAGCCAGAAAACGACATGGCAGAAAAAAAAGGACCCTTCCGCAGCTCCTGGGAAAGAAATTTATTCTCACTGCGGAGTAGCTGTGCGAGCTCTAAATACTGCCAGACAGTCGGTTTGGACAAAATAAAGCCGCGGATTTAGTACATCCGGATTTTACTGATTTCGGCCGCCAATCCCGTATTTACTAAATCATGTGAATCTGGCGGATTTAGTAAATCCTGGACGGGCAATTCGAGCAAAAAGTAAGATAACTCCATCTGCCTCCATAGTTTCGGGTAGGAGCTGCACGGAAGGAGAAGAAAGATGGCAATTTCGGTCTCTGTACGCCGCGATCTCTCCGTTGCCTTCCCGGGTAGCTCTATTTGCGACTGTATCGCGAGGTTTTGGTAACTTAGGCGATGGTTTTGGGCACAGGGACGGAGCAAGCGTTTCGGTCAGGAGAAGGGAAAAGGGGTGCGATGTGGCGGGCGCGGCGAGGGTTTCTTCCGGCAGAGGGCAGAAAGGGGACGGGGGCATGGGATTGTTGTTTTAATGGAGTTTTATTTAACTTAATTTTATTGATATTATTGATTAATAATAATTTTTAATTAATGTCTTATCAAATTAATTATGATTAAAAAATTTATACGTAATTATTTAATTAATTTAAATTTATTAAGTCAATCAATTTTGTATCATGACAAAAAGACTAGTAAGAATCTCAAGACAATCGAACGCCCAAGGGCGACGGCCGGGCAATCAAAGTGACAAGTTGAACAAAAATGATCTGAACCAGCCATTCGGCAATCAACCGTTCTATTGGGCCGGTAGACCCATGCTATTAAGGGAGTCAATCGACGGATCGGGTTTATGGTCCCAGCTACCCAAACCTCTTTTAAGAGTGTTCGATCACAACTAGTCAATCGACAACTTTCGGCAGAAGTGATCACCACACAACTAGTCGTCCTGGTCAACTGAACTAAAATGCATCGATCGGCTAATGACAGGTGCATTACACTTAAATAGCAAGACGAATCTTGTATTAATTTAGCGCATTAACTACATGTTGATATCAATTTTTAATGTTGTAAGTATATAATGTCCGTTCGAGCGCTATGAAATCTTGCTTGATGATGTGTTGATTCCTACACCGCAAGAAATCCATTTGAGAACTTTTGACGAGTGTTAAGGGGCACACTGCCGGGACCGTTCTATTGGACGTCAGTCCTCATTAGGGTGAAGGTCGGTCGGCATTTTTGTCTGTCGGATAGCTTCAATCGGGCCAACATATATTATTCGTAGCACCACACACAAAACTGGTTAAAATTGGCACGTTCATTGGTGAATTTGTCCAGATTATCCCGGCTGACAAAAAATAGACTACTTGAGCGTGTCCAGAACGCTGAATTTATTTATGAAGGACATTCATTTTGTTATGGTTTCGCATACGAGCCGATAATGCTTGAATCGATGCATTTAAAGTAAAAAAATAATAATAACAATATTAAAAAAATAAATAAATAGGCTTTAAAACTCGTCGCATGCGACTTCTCCCCCTCAACCCGGGAAAATTATTACATCAGGCTCTGCATGCAAAGCTACTTGAGGAGTCCAATCTTGTGTTGACACGTAGAAGACCGACTCACCTACATAAAAAATGAAAAAAATAATGAAAACACGCGACCCGGCCGGACCGATGCGTTATAGAGCCTAAGCAAATATTTTTTGCGTTATTTATCCTTGTCGTCGTGTTATAGGAATATTCTCTCATGTTATTCTAATTAACACATCAATAACACATGAATAACACATTAAATAACACATGAATAACACAAAAAAATATTCAGAATAAAGCAGGAGAATATTCCTAAGCCCTCAATAACACATTAAATAACTATAAGTTATTAGCAGGAGAATATTCCTGAGCCCTCAATAACACATTAAATAACTATAAGTTATTAATAAATATAAATTATGACATTTAAATAAATTATTTTTGTTCTATAACACACTAATAACAAACTAATAACACGTAATATAACACACATAATAACACAATTGTACACTACATAGCCCGCGGTATAACACGTGGGGAATATTATGTGTGTGTTATATCGCGGGTTATAACGCGCCCCACGTGTTATACAGCCGCCCTATAATACTCCCCTAGCCCGCGGTATAACACGGATGTAATATTCTCCATGTATTATACCACAGGCTATGGAGTGTATAATTGTGTTATTATGTGTGTTATTATGTGTTATTGGTATGGGAATATTTCTATACCCTCAATAACACATCAATAACATGTGAAAAATGTGGAAGATATTCAGAATAATGCGGTGAGAATATTTTTATGCGATAGAATATTTTTATAATGCATCTGTCGAGTCGGTTCACACGTTTTCATTATTTTTTTTATTTTTTATGTAGGTAGGCCGGCCTTCCACGTGTCAGCGTAAGATTGGACTCCGCAAGTAGCTCTACATGCAAAGTCAGATGTAATATTTTTTCCTCAACCTGAACAGATTCGCACGTGCCCTAGCCTCCTCTTGTGAAAAACTCCACTGGCCCTAGCTCCCTCTCGTCGCCCTGCGCTCCTCGCTGGTCGATGCTACTCGCTGTTGAACGCTTGACCGTCGACGCTCTCCCCCGCTACCAGAGCTCATACATGAGGGCTCTCACATGGAGGCTTTGGCCTCTTCCTTGCCCCAACCTCTTACATGCACGCTTCCCCAGTCCTTGTTGGCGAAGTCCCGCCGACCTTCATCGATGTATGCGTCCAGCCTTCGTTGGCCTTAGCTTTCTCTCATGTGAGGCCTTCGTGGGATATAGGATCCCTCCCGTCGCCTTCAGCTGTTCGTGACCGAGACCCTCGCCCACCTGCGTCCAGCCTTCGTTGGCCTTAGCTTTCTCTCACATGAGGCCTTCGTGGGATATAGGATCCCTCCCATCGCCTTCAGCTGTTCGTGACCGAGACCCTCGCCCATCAGCATCCCTTCCCACCGGTGAACCCCTCAGACGTGCGAGCCTCCCGCCAGCGTCTCACGGTCGTCATCTCTTTCGCACACAGAATTAGGCAGAGCCCTTAGTCCTTCCTTGCATTTTTTTTGTCACTGATGATCTACTCCACCGAAGCATTTCATCGGCCTTCGTTCCCTGGAAATTGTAGACCTCGTCAGAATGCCTTACCATTTGACAGACAGTGAAGGCACATAGCATGAAAGAGTGACATCCTCCCCCTCTTTGAGGAGAGCTTTTTCTCGAACTTCATCGAATAACGAGCAACCAACGCGTCGATATAACCTCCTCGGATTCTTCGTCTTTTAATTTTTAGCTAGCCCTATGATTTAGTATTAGTAAGCATGTGGGTTCGGTTGCCCGCATGGGGCGACTGAGTCAGCCAACATTAGTCGGCTCAGCGACATGCCTTTTTGATGGATCGTTGATTTCCTAGAGGAGACCCTAGGATAGAAATTCGTACGTTTTCAAATCCTTCAAAGAGCCAAGTGAATTCCTTTTTGTTGCAAACCCTAACACAAAGTTCTAGTGGGTTGGAATCCTTACATCCCCTTGTTTTGACTTCCCCAACTTTCCTTAAAGAAGCTGTGATGTTTGGGTCTTTGCAAAGTAAGAAAAACTTTGTTGCTGGTTCACTTTGCAAAAACCTTAAGGAGTTCGCGAAATGGGTAAAGCTTTGTAGCTAGCCCATTTCGCGACATTGCAGAGAGTTTCCCCTGTTGAAACCAGGGGGAGCAACACCCCGCACGCCTAGCAAAAGCAAGAGGCGGCTATGTCGCACATCCAAATGCCAAACCCTAGGTTTCCCAGGTGAGGACATTAGTTCGAGTGCAGTTCACTATTGTGTGTGGTCATTTCCTTTACATTATTTGCGTGTGTTTGCCTTGCATGAAACATACCACACCATCATTTGTGCCACAATTGATTCGATTGCCCCGGCTCGGTAGGCAGCACTTGTGTCGCGACCCGTCGTCTCGGCCCCTGATTGCCCCGGCTCGGTCGGCAGCACTTGTGTCGCGACCCGTCGTCTCGGCCCCGGTCATCACCACTTTTGCTACGATTGGCCTCCTGATCCTGTCGACACCATTAGTGTCAGCCTGATTGGCACCACTTATGCACAGCAAGCCGCCCCAACCCTCTCGGCACAGCTTGTGCCTCGATCAGACAACTTGGTCCGATTGGCATCACTTGTGCCTTGGTCGGCTGCCCCAACTCGGTCGGCACCGCTTTTACCACAACCGGTCGCTCTTACTCGATCTGCACTACTTGTGTCATGACCGACTGCCCCAGCCTGGTTGCACCACTTGTTTCATGACCAGTCGCATTGGCCCGGTCAACACCACTTGTGTCTCAATCAGACATCCTGATTTGATCTACACTACTTGTGTCACGATGGGCTGCCTTGGCCTGGTAGGCATAACACTTTGGTTTGACTGGCCGCCATGACTTGGTTGGCCTACCACTTTGGTTCAACCAACCGTCCTGACTCAGTGGACCGATCACTTTGGTTCGACAGGTTGCCCTTGCCCAGTTGATAGACCACTTAGGTTCAACCGCCCACTCTGGCTCAGTATACCGACCACTTCGATCGGACTGGCCGCCCTGATCCGGTCGACTGATCATTTGAATAATACTTTTGTGTGAGTTCATGAGTATGCTTTGTCTGTTTGCATGGTGCACTGTGTTAGTTTGCATTTTGCATGCTTTGACCGAGCACAACACCTTTATTGTCATATGTGTTGCTGTGTTTAGAATGTGCTTGCCATTTTGCATGTGTGTCTAGTCATTATTGGGGTATTGTGTAATTGTCCATAGTAGTGTCCTATATCATAGGCGACCGAGCACAACACCTTTATTGTCATATGTGTTGCATGATATTTTGCATGGTCATCATTGTTTGCTTGGGTAGCATTTTGAGTGTCCACCCACACACTCAATCCCACTTGTATTATAATATATATTTCACTTAATATAGTAATATTTTTTGTGATAGGAATTTTTTAGTTTTATAATTAGAAAAAAATAAAGTTCCGATGCTAAAAGCATGTCAATATATAGAAATTAGGCTGACATGTATGTAAATGCCCGTTTTTCTAATCCTATATTATAGTTTATTATTATTATTATTTTTAGATGTCAGTCCGGCTTTTTTCCTCCTCTGCACCTCCATTTTCCGCTTGGTTTTAAAAATGACCGTTGCGGCGTTGCTGTGCCAATCCACCATCCCTAGTGCAGTTTTATTTTTATTATTCAGCATTTAAATTCAGATAAAATGAACCGGTCATTAAAATCAGCCATCCAGAGAGGGACAAACAAAGAGCAACACAGGAGACCAGTTAACCTACACGTGTCATTAATAAGGCCTGTCTAATCCTTCAGGTTTGCCACGTCGCTTCGGATTCGATCCCGCATCCAAAGCTCAGGCTCGGACTGCCGTTTGCTTCACAGAAACCCCAATGCAGTCAGACAAAAACAGAGCAAAATCAATAGAAATAAAAACAGGAAAAGCAGTAGAAAATGAAGATAATTGTCCAAAATGAAGGCAGAGTACTTATGCCACCTTCTTCAATAAGCAGAAATCAATATCAGTCTGCAGCCAAGAAGACGAACTGTGAAGTAGCTTCTCCTCCACCACTGTCTCTACGTCTCTCGGTACACAACCAGCCATTAAAGCTTTCACGACTTTACCCCTAGAAAGCTAAAAGGCGAGCTCTCTGTTTGCGTCTCTCCGGTATCTTCTTTCCCGCTTCTTTCTCTTTGTCTCGGCCGCTCGCTCGCTTGCTATGGCTGTCTCTCACTCTCTTTTTTGCGCATTAATTTTCTTAACGAGGTTCGGTTTCTCCGGATCATCACCAATGAGAAGAACCAGAGGAAAATCAATGGCGACTGTTCTTCTTTTATTAGTTCTGTTCTTTATGCTTCGATCGCCAGCATCCGCCGTCCTTGATCCAGTCGATTTCCTTGCTCTCCAATCCATTCGAAAATCACTATCAGACTTACCGGGCTCCGATTTCTTCTCACAGTGGGACTTCACCAGCGACCCCTGCAGCTTCCCCGGCATTTTCTGCTCTGGAGAGCACGTCGTCGCACTCTCCCTCGGCGACCCCCCCCGCGCCGGCACCCCAGGCCTCACCGGACACCTCGATCCCGCCATTAGCCGCCTCTCCTCCCTGTCAGAACTATCTCTTCTTCCCGGCCGCGTTATTGGTCGAATACCAGACTCCATCGCCCTCTGTTCTTCCCTCCGCTTTCTCGCACTAAGCGGCAATTTCCTCTCAGGCCCCATCCCTCCTTCTCTCGCCTCCCTTCGCCAGCTGCGAACCCTTGATCTCAGCTTCAATATCCTCTCCGGCGAGATCCCTCTCTCAATCACTTCCCTCCCATCGCTTTCCAACCTCGTACTCTCCCACAACCGCTTCACTGGAAAGATCCCTCCCTTCCCCTCATTCTCTTCTCTCCTCCGCCTTGACATCAAGAACAACAATCTTTCCGGCGAACTCCCCTCTCTTCCCTTATCACTCCGCTACCTCGCTGCGTCTCGCAACACACTTTCCGGTCAAATCGATGGCGTCATCCCGCAGCTCACCGCCCTAACTTACCTCGACCTCAGTACGAACATTCTCACCGGTCCCATCCCTGCGACCATCTTCAACCTCCCACTTTCATCCCTCCAGTTACAGCGCAACAAGCTCGCCGGCCAGGTGGCGCCGCCGGCTGATGTGAGGATACCGGAGGTGGATTTAAGTTACAACCGGCTCTCGGGGGCTGTGTCTCCATTTCTAGCAGCGGTGGGGAGATTGTATTTGAACAACAATCGGTTCACAGGGGAGCTGCCGGCGAAGTTTGCGGAGAGATTGGAGGCGGCGGGAATGGAGGTTCTGTATTTGCAGCATAATTTTCTCAACGGGATGCAGATGTCGCCGGCGACGGAGATACCGATGACGACCTCTCTCTGTCTTCAATATAACTGTATGGTGCCGCCGGTAGACGCGCCGTGTCCGCTGAAAGCCGGGAGGCAGAAGACACGGCCGGTGAACCAGTGTCCTGAGTGGCGGGTTTGAGTTAGGCTGAAATTTAGGCTTATGTTTTCATTAATTGTAGCAGGTGATTTGATGATTATTTTATTGTTATTTATTGTCTGACGTGTTAATATCAATTTATTGTCACATTTTAGCTATGGAAGATTTTCATTCATACCACCGAATTCTTATGTATTTACATATCTACACAATTTCAAGTTTTCATATACAGGGCATTTTATCTATGCAAGAAAAAGGTGTATCTCTGTTTTTGATAGTTGAAATGGTTTCATTTTTTATGTGATATGAACATTTTGAGTGATATAAATGTCAAAATTAAAATGTGGGTGTTAGTATATAAATACATAGGAATTGGATGGTGTGTATGTAAATGATGCTTTTAATTGTTGGCTTACCCTGCTATTTCATTTAGGGACCATTTGGGGGCTACTTGGCTTGAAGTAGTTTGGGGATTGCAGAACGGTTTTATGTATGAGTTAGAATAATATTTTGACATGAATTATGATTCTTGGAGTGTTGAATCTTTTTGGGACGTAAGATTTCGTATTATTTGTGTTATCACACAATTTGGTATAAGATTCTAAATGCCTCCCGTACCAGGAGGAAGACATGAGAAAAATTGAGGAGTCTCGTGAATTTCCCCACTCCCATTTTCTTAAAAGAATGCATAAGTTCTCTTGGAACATAAAAGAGATTGAGAGACAAAAAGGCCACGAGCTAGAGTCCTCATCAACAGGTAGGGGTGTAAACGAACCGAACACCTGAAACCTATTCTCTCTCATCCCGATCTAGCCTCTCCCGTTCTTTTAAATGGAATGTTTAATGAGGACATGACCTCTTCTTGGTGCACACACCAATGTCGGCGATATGATGAGCATCCTTTCTCTCAGGCACAGATCTAACATTGAAAATTGTTAAATATATTTATTGATGTTCACTTCGATAAGCAGGTATATTGGAAAATATGTGGTGAATGTGGGGCTCGGTTCGACTTGTTTGGTGATTGACAATTTGAATATTTTGGGAAATGGGTTCAGTTCCGCAATTTGATATTTGTGTATAAATTTAGTTCACGGGTTTCTTTATTTCTTTGATTGGATGCTCGTAGTTTTCCGCGAGAAAATTGAGGGATTAAAAATTGATAGCTTGCTGAAAGCCCTTTGAGATGAAGGTGAAATGAGCTCCAGGAATTGACATTTCTATATGCGCCATAAACTCTTTTACTTGTCTTGCTAGGAATTAGGTTATTTTTTCCTTTACTAGCTGCATTGTTAACACCTCTGGGACCGCCCTTCTCTTGGGAGCAATTGTTATGCTATTCCGACAGGGAGTAGTCACAGAGTAGTAGTTTAATGACTCGTGAACCTGCTCTTTTCTCAAGTGCTTAAGCATGGGTGCATAAAGGAAGTTCACCTTGACCCATTCATTCCATCTGTTAAGGTCTGGTGAGGGTTTTTTTATATGCTTTTTTGGTTCACACTCCTAGTTTTTACAATAGGTCCACTTTCTTTTTTGCCCTTGTTCCATGCTAACCATACATCAAATACAAAAGTTAATTTAGGGGTTTTCAAAAGGTATTTATTAAGGTATTTACTCAAAGGTTATTATCATGATTGCACTTCCTTTGTGTTTATATTGGGGCCCGATCACGTATATCCATTCTAGATAAACCTTTGATTTGTAGAAATAAAGGTGCTCCATAATTTTTGTTGCAAGATGATGATCCCATATTCAATGGATGCGGCCACGACAATTATTAACCTTTGGGAAGAGGAGAGGTTGGCAAAAGAGAGGAAAGAGCTAAGCCTATGAAAAACGAGTCTCAATAGTGGAAGAATATGTTGGAGGAGGAATCATTCCTGCAAAAGTCTTCACTAAATTTGAACGGTCCGACGGATGCTCTCACGTCTGTAGAGCTTCGACCGCATGTTGCTGTCGAACTAGGCAATAATTGGGTTTAGTGATTTGGGGAATAGAGTACTGATAAGAGAAAAAATCTTAAATATGTCATCCCTGAAAAAGTGCTCCCTGTATGTGAAGTTGTGAAGGGATTGGCCGAGACTTATTGTCACTCCTCTTTTTCTTATTTTCTTTACATTTTTATGACACCCAAGAACATTAATGGGACAAGACATGGAAGGAATATTTTTTAATGGAATAGGTGTTGGAGATTTTTTGGTGCAAGAAGAGCGACTGATATACACAGAATGTGAACTCAACTTTACTTTGGGAGAAGCCGCGACTCTTCTCCGAAAAGATTCAGCTGACCTCGCTCAGGTGGTCAATTCAACCATGTTTCCTGTGGATTGAGGGACTTCGAAAGTTCGCGTCCCATCTCTGGGCGCTCCATTGAGGTCAAATTGTATATTTTTGAATTGGTGGCCAAAGTTACTGCGATGAGTAGTAGGGAATTGTACTTTACCCTACAATTTCAATATCATAGAGCAGATTTTGACAGGGAGATTGCCCATTTTAGCCAACATCAATGGGCTTCTTTCGAGAGGGAGATGGCCGAAGTATGCCATACACTAAATAAGGGATCTAAACTCTATCGCTGGCACGGGAAGAGATAAAGGATTTGAAGGCTGAGATGGTGGTCATTCGACGACGCGTGGAGTTGGGTAGCCCTGATAATCTCTTGATTACTGACAAGATTGGTTATTAGTATGGAGGATATGCAAAATCATGGACTTTCCCTTTTCTATTTTTGATGATTCTTTTTGTGTTTCTTCTCTGTAATCCCTCAATTTGGATTAATAAAATGATTCCAAAGTACAACTTCTGTCATTTGTTTAATAGTTTTCTTTACTTTATCCCACGTAGAATTTGCATATTTATGAATATCTCAAATTTTGAAATCTTGAATTTTACTCATAAAAATAATTTTATTTGTGTCTTTTAGGTACCCCCATCTAATTCTATGATGATGATTCCTGATATTCTTTATTTTACAACTTTTTATGTTAAAATCTAGAACTAATAATCAATGCCGAGTACTTAAATCCTCACATGAAATTACCTTACAATCATTGCATCCTCAAAGACCTCTTCTTCTCACAAGAAAATAATCAATGTGTTTTATTAAATATATTCTTATAAGTAATAATATACTGATGTCTTTTCTTAAACAAAGTATTATTAATAACAAAATCATATGCTAAATTTTTTTTAATATATTTCTACTTTCTTCATCAATCACTTCAAAACCGTAGTCATTATGAATATTTATAAAATCTACTACCACTCTACTGACATGTCTATTTAAATCTCCTCCCATTATGAATATTTATAAAATCTACGACCACTCTACTGACATGTCTATTTAAATCTCCTCTAATAAAAATTCTTTCTTAAAGAGGTATCATTTGTATTAAGTCTTCTAAATCATTCTAGAATTTACCTTTAAAACCTATATCTAAACCTACTTGAGGAGCTTAATGATATACATAAAATATATAGTATTTTTAGACATATTTTTATACCTATTTTTGAGATATTGCGCTTTAATGGAAGATATTTATGTGTTTTTCTTTCAGGTACAAGTAAAAATGTGAAAAATGCTAAAATGAGTGAAAAATGATCAAATTTGGAAAAAAAAATACAAAAAATGGTGTAAAAGAGTTTTGGCGCTTAAGCACCGGTGAAATAGAGAAGGTCGCGTCTAAGCGTCAGAGGCCCCACGCTTAAGCACCAGAGGCAATTATTTGACGGGGACAATTATTTGATGGTTTAATTCATTTTGCCTAATTTTGAAGGGACATTTGAGGCACCTATTGGCTAAAGAGGGTAGTTATGACCACTAGAAACAAAATTATGATTAAAGGACTTGTGAAAGGAGGCATCCTTTGGAGAATACATCAAATTGGGACACATTTTGAAGAGTTATCAAGGCACCTCTTAGAGATTTTATGTGCTTGAAAAGGGGGAGTCCTGAGAAGTTCTTGAAATAGTTCGTGGAGGAACTTTTGGAGAGCTTTTCAGGCATCACAAATTTACTTTATCCTTTTTGTTTTTAG